TCTGCCTGTACAACCTGTTCCAGTGACCAATGACAGTTCGTAAAGCACTGGAATCCCCATCAACAGAGGTTTTTAAGAACAGGTCAGACAAGCCCCTGGCAGGGACAAGTCAGATTTACTTGGCCCTGCCTCAGTGCAGGTGGCTGGCCTAGATGAGCTTACTAGGGCCATTCCATCCCTATATCACTATGATTAGATAAGACAGGCCACAGATTTCTATGAATTAATTCCTGGCTGCACTAGACTGGAGCAGATCTGTTAGAAAACCATCCACATTGCCAGTGATGGAGACTGCCCCAGTCCTGCATCAATTGTTCTAATGGTTAATTGCCTGCATGGTTAAACATGTAGGTATATTAGCCCTAGTCTGAATTTGTCCAGCGTCGACTTCCAGCCCTTGGCTCTTGTTAGATCTTCGGCTTCTGTATTGAAGCTCCATTTTACAATTTCTGTTCCCCACGAAGGAACTTCTACCCTACAATTGTCACCCCTTAACTTTCTCTTTGTTAAACTAAACACATTGAGCTACTGGAGTCTCTCACTGTGAGGCACATTCTCTAAGTTTTTAATCATTCTTGGGGCTTTTCTCTGAGCCCTGCAATTTATCAGCCTCCCTCTTGCATCATGGGCACCAGAGCTGGAGGCAGGATTCCAGCAGCAGCTGCACCAGTGCTGCATAAGGAGGTACCAGAACCTCCCGACTCCCCGTCGAGGTCCCCTGTTGATGCCTCCAAGGATTGTATTACCCCTTTTAGTCACAGATTCACACTTGGGAGCTTGTGTTCTGCTGATCATCCTGCATGAGCTCCAAGCCTTTGTCAGAGTTCCCCGTCCTGAAAGTACGGCTCTTTGTTCCTAGATGTGTACGTTTATACTTGGCCATATTGCAGCTCACATTGTCTGCTTGTGCCCAGCTTACCAAGCGAACCAAGTCACTCTCTACCAGCAACCTAACTTCATTATTTATCATTCTCCCAATCTTGTGCCATCCGCAAACCACCTTTGATTATTTTCTTCAAGGTCACTGATACAAATATTAATGAGTGTAGGGCCCAGGGCTGATCCTATGGGACCCAAATAGAAACACCCACTCAAAGAGGGTTCCCTGTGTCCAATTACATTTTGAGACCTCGCACTTAAGCAGTTTTAAGCCATTTTGTGTGTGCTTTGTTAGGTTTGTACTCTTCAGGTTTTTTAATCACAATATCAGGCAGCATAAGTCAAATACCTTCCAGAAGTTTAAATATACAGGCAGTCCCCGAGTTACGCGGATCTGACTTATGTCGGATCCGCAGTTACAAACGGGGATTTTCTCGCCCCGGAGGACTGGAGCGGCGGGACGCCTGGTCCCGCCGCCCGCCTCCTCCCGGGCGATAAAAGCTGCTCCCCATCTCCCTGGGCAGCTGGAAGCGCGGGGCCCGCCCCCGG